GGAGTGCGAGAAAGAAACAAGTCGAAGACACACAAGAGCAGCAAAAAGAAGAAGCAGAAAGCACAATATAGAAGTCAGCCATAACAGATCACTGCACAAGAGAAAACCATGTAATGGACTGGGACGACACAATAAGGATCATAAACACCAAACAATAGAAATACAAAAGATGGATAAAAGAAGCTATGGAGATAAGGAGACGTGGATGTGGGACTATGAACAGAGACGATGGGGTCTACACATTGGATCACGCATGGGACTGCATCATCAGCTAGGGGAGAGCGGGCAGCAGAGGGCGACAACGTCCTCTGCTGTCCGCGGATAAACGGAGTAGGAAGTGACGCCACCATCAGCGTCAGCTCTGAGGATGTTTGCAGACTCAAACGAAACTGTCAGCAAGGTAAAGAGAAACTTTTCCTGTGTTTTAAAAAAGAACCAAAAATGGAATTTGTGTTAATGCTTGGTACCAACACTGGGAGGTCCTGAGAGGGACATCTGTGGAGGAAGAGGGTGATCTTTCTCCACAGTAAGAGAAGCAGTAGGAGGCAGCAGTATCGATTCACCTTGCAGCCTTGATCCTGCTGTCACAGACAGTATATCACTTAATTTAATCCACTATTAAATAGGCTATAATTAGAAATGTGTCCAGCAGATGCGTTTTATTTAAAAGGTGGGTTGTGGTTGAGCTGGAAATGTGCCTACATTGTGTTGCATTTGTTTTATTGGACTCATTCTTTTCCCTTTAAGTACTTAAACCGGAGTGATACTAACTGTGTCTGCAAAAAGATGGGAAATGATGCAAATAAACACTCTTGGTTAAAGCATGCAGGTTTTATGGGAAATAGTTACAGTTTGTTCCAAAGGGGGGATTAAGTGTGTTGGTCCCTTGACAAGCTGGTGACTGACAGAGCAGCTCTACTGCAAGTTCTAGATTCCAGTCAGAGATATTTACCACTGCACATGTATTTTATATCAGATATTCATATAAGTAGATCATTTGTAAAAATTTATTGAAATATTTCATTTATTTAGTCATGATTCAATTTTCACAACTTTTCAATAATAAACAATTGCCACCACAGAGGTTTTAAAGAAAGAATTGAAAGTGTGTGTGTGTGTGTGTGTGTGTGTGTGTGTGTGTGTGTGTGTGTGTGTGTGTGTGTGTGTGTGTGTGTGTGTGTGTATGTGTGTGTGTGTGTGATTGCAGCTACTAGCTTGAACAGATCAAACAATAACATCTAGTAATTTAACCTCTCAATTTAGTTTAACTGCAAATAAAATATTTGACATTTGTCAAATAAATGAGCTGTTTTTTGGATTCTGTTTACCAATCATATTCAGCACACTGGAGACGACTGTGTTGAATAGGCCACGCCCACGCTAAACTGGCTTTATAAAAAGAGGGATGCACTGCTAAAGGGCCCTGCCCCCCAGGTGGAGCTTGCTTCACCCTCGCCCCGTTAACATTCGGTTGTCCAGAATGTAACCCACCTGTACCACTTGACTGATGGTTATAGTTTAAGTTTCCTCTCCTTCTGGTTGGCTCGCGGATCCCTTGACTGGAAAAGAAATACAAGTTGCCTAAAGGTTGGTTTATGCTTGACGCGTCCGCGAGGTCCGCACGGCTCCACGCGGAAAAGTTGCGTCATTTTGCGTCATTTTAACAACCACGTCCCTCCACTGCGTCTCCGCACGGCCCAGAATTTCTGCAACGCGCACCTCGGAAAATTTCTAACCACGCGGACGGACGGGCGTGGAAAAACATGGCGGACCGGCAAGAACTAGTATGGCAGAGGTTCGTAAATACAGACATTTGTATGATTCAGCTCTCAGAGATCACCGTGATCAACATGTTGTTAATAATTCTTGGAGAGAAATAGCTCGCACTGTCGGAAAAGACGAGAACGCTGTTAAAAATGCTGAAATGCCATGTTGTAAACAGTAATTTCTACTTCTACTATGGTGTAGTGTTGGATGCATGCCGTAGAGCTCCATGCTGCCCCCTACAGTTTGGGAGAATATTGGCTCACCGCAGAGACGAGCCGCATGAACCATAAACGCTGCGAGTTGTGAAGCGCGTTCCATCCGCGAGCCGCATCACCGCACGGAAAGTGAATGTGTCAAGCATAAACCAAGCTTGAGCTATAAAAGTTATCTCTGGTCCGCTTTGCCCTACGCCCTGAATCACACATATGTTGTAGTAATGATGGGTGTACATGTCTGTCAAGTTATTAGAGATTTATTAGCTTACAAACTTTTGTAATTAAATCAACTACAAATCAGACTTCTCACCTATGACATCACTGCAGAATCTCTTCTCTCCCAGCAAAGCTGCTACTAACCACATGGCCAGATTTAAAGTCTCCAGGTTTGAAGCTCCTTCTTTTGGCCTGTATTTGATATAGCGCCTTCTAGAGTCCTGGTGCCCCCCAAGGCACTTTACAACACAATCAGTCATTCACACACATTCACACCCTGGTGGGGATGAGCTAGGATGTAGCCACTGCTGTCCTGGGGCACTCTGAGATAGGCAAGGCTGCCGAGCACTGGTGCCACCGATCCCTCCGACCACCACCAGCAGGCAAGGGGGGTTAAGTGTCTCTTGTCTTGGAAGAAGGATTCGAAGCTCATTAAACTCACAGCCATTTTTCTTGTATTTGTTCTCCTTGTCTGGTTTGATGATATAAATTTGGTGGAGTCCTCAAAATAAAGGTTTACTGCCAGTTAAAAATAAGTGCTTTCTTGGCATCAAATGTGTCTTTAAAATTATCGTATGTTAAATTCATGACACATATCAAATAGGATCAGAAAGTTACTTTTGTCGGCCCATATACTCCCATTCATTTTTTTGGTAGTAGGGAACTCATGGACCTGAAGTAGATGGACGCGACTTAGGCTTCTCATACTAGCTGCTTGTGATCTCCATGGAAAAACGAGTAACTTAATTTTCTATAGTAATAAATTGTTTAATCGTTTTCACACCCTTTCCATTATTTGGATGTTGTAGACAGTGTTTAACATCCATCATCCATGTTAGATTTAGAACTCTTTAATTCCTCATGGAATTCTGATTTGGTAAGAAATCCGCTCCTCGCTGTGGTATAACATTACACCCCAAGGTGCCAACCAGATACTGTGGAAAAGTTGCTTCCCCTAATATTTCAAATATTCCACATGTTGAAGTTCATCTGGGTTGGAATGGGAAAAAATCTGCTGAAGAGTGCATTTAAAGCCTCAAAGTGGCTGCCACTTTTTACCCCTGCTAGTTCTACTACTAAAACTACTGCTATTGATACTTCTATTACTACTACAAGTACTGTTACTACTACAATGATGATACTATGAAAATAACCAATATAAACAATGGTAATAGTATGCTGTTTTCTTCTTCATTTACAGATGGAACACATTTAGTGAAATACAGAATCTTCTTACCTCTTTACTAAGTTAAAACGATGCATTTTGACCACATTTTTAATCAAACCATGAAGTCTTTTTCAGCATCTTTCCGACATGTCTAAGCTCCAGCTAACTAATGACCTGACTCAAATATTTTTTCAACAACCTGTTATTTTTAACGCACTTTCACTGACAGAACCTGATAAATGTTATTTCCTTCGGGTAATTATTTTTTATAATCACTTTCATCCAACAATGTATATATTCTTCTCTCCTGAACATGTGATTGACAACAAAAGCAGCTCAGCTTTATTTATACTAAACCCCTGAGCTGATGTTTTTATTTAACTGAATTGTCTCGACTGAGACTTTGATTCAATTTTAGCCCTTTGCTCATTAAAGCAGTACATGACGGTAACTGTAACAGTGTGGAAAGAATTATTGATCTCCTCTCAACACTCACTGTGAACTGATTCTTTGCTCACTCAGATGAGAAAACTCTCCAGACCTGCAGACATGACATCTTCCTCCAAAGCCACTAAATATTCCATCGACACCTTCAATTTTATTTGCACATCATTTAGAGGATTTTTTTTACTTTAAATTATTTTGCTTGTAGGTAAATTTCATGTCCAAAACATTTTCACACTTCCAAATTCTTCTAAAATTCCAATAGCAATTACCTAAAACACAATGGAAAATACTCAACAACAAAAGAAAAACAAAATGTTTTCTTAATAGTACTTTCATGTTGTGCAAAGTATAGCACACATAGTTTGTTTTTATTTTTTGTTGTTTGTGCAAGAAAAAAAAGATGATTTTTTAATGTTTATGTTAATTAATTAAAAATGAAACATATTGTCATCGGTCCGTCATGGAAAAAATGTAAGTCAACAGACAAATAAGAGAATAAGAAAATGAAATGCAAGGGGAAAGACGGGTTGTCAAGATAATGTTTGTTTACATTTTTTTTTCAAGAACAACAACTCTGAGCATGCTCAACCTCTGATTCGATGCTTGGTGCATGCATACTCATGGCACAATCTGATCATTTCAGTTAGTGTGCAAATAAACAGATATTTGGGATTTCCAATCAACCAAACATTTAATTGGATAGGGGAAATTTGGCGCATGAAGACGTAGTAAATGGATCCAATTTTAATTATTTTTTCCTGGCATTTCACAGCTCAAGAAAAAGTACCTTTAGAAAGTAGTTCAATATATAAGTAATGAAAAATGGATTTATTATATTAAAAAAAACAATAAATGCTAAAAGAAATCATCTGTAATTTTCAAGCACGTTCATATGAAATAAGGAGATACAAGATTCAGTAGACCTTTATATATATATATATATATATATATATATATATATATATATATATATATATATATATATATATATATATATATATATATATATATATATATATATATAATCCTGGTCAGGCTGCTGTTCATACTGATTGACGTTCCTCCTTCTCACCACTGGGTGTCGCTCCAGAGCGTCTGATAACACCTCAGCGCACTCATTCCGCCTCCATCACCCCTCCCCTGCCTGCTCTTTCTGTGTGTGCGGGTGCGTTGTGTGTCGGATAGAAAGTCAGCCTGGTTTCCAGCTGAGTGCTTGCTCTCTCACAGTGTGTATGTGTGTGTGTGTGTGTTGTCATTATTATCCACTCTGCTCCCAGCTCAGAATGGCCAGATTCACTCAGACTGAAACAAGAAGGCAGCACCATCCACAGCAGTCCCAGCCCGCTTACTCCAGCCTGGTTTTCACCGGACCGGGGGCACCACCGACCCACCAACCATTACTACTAATCCCACATCAGCACCAGTACCCTCAGATCACATTTCCGAAACCCATGAACGGGTCAGAACCCATTTCAATTCATCCGGAGAGCGGCAACATGAAAGACCAAGATGCCATTAAGCTGTTTATCGGGCAGATACCGCGGAACTTGGAGGAAAAAGACCTGAAACCCTTGTTTGAACAGTTTGGGAAAATCCACGAACTGACAGTTCTCAAGGACCGATACACCGGAATGCACAAAGGTAACCCGAGGACCAGACGCTAAATAATCAGCCTGTCAACTGTACATATTTCTGTGTGTAGAATTATTCATCACATTAGTTTTTTTACCTTGTCATGTCTTATCCCCCGCGTTTAACCGTCGCAGGTTTTTCATTTTTGCTCCGATTTTCATCATCTGTGTGGATTTTTATCCAAATGGTCGCTTTACGCACAATACAAGTTCAATCCAGATTAATCCCAAATTTTAGAAGAGCCACTGGAGAATCAGATTTAGAAATAACACGGATGCTTCACCCAAGAGGGATATTGTTCATTGTTTTTATTCTAGGGTTGTAATCGCAGAGTATTTCCGTGACGCGCTCCTAAGTGGGGCAGACGCGCTCGGAGAGATGCATTTTTAAAAAGCCTCCCTCTTTATCCCAGTCCCATCTTTTTCGCATCATTTATTCATTCGTATGATTTCTTTAACATCTCTCCGTGTGGGAGTGGAGTGGTCACGGGCCCGTCACGGCTTACATTTGTTTAATTCTACTACGTCTCCAAAGGGCGCGCGAGCTGTCACAAGATGACGGACGTCGCCACGGAGATCGTGATGCTGCGCTCCCTCTGCTGAAATGGAAGGCTGTGAGAGAAGCAGGGGGATGGAAACCCACAGCTCTAGGCTGCATGGTGACAACTTCCATCTCCCATATAGGCCGAATAAAGTTGCTCAGCAGGAATATAGCCTATTGTGTGCAGATGGAACCCAGTTCACAGCATCCTCCCCTTCCTCAACCCACGCAGGGCGCACGTCATCATCATCATCATCATCATCATCATCATCATCATCATCATCATCATCATCATCCATCAACTGTTTCACACAACTTTATTATTTCCAAAGATTTCTCCGTTGAACACTGCGGCGTTTATCTGATGACTGCATATTTACATTTTATCAACAAAGCAACAACTATTTCAAGAGTCTTTCTTTTGGGCAGATTTTCCAAGAGTTAAAGTGAGACTTGAGATCGTCTGAAGTGGATTTCTGTTGGACGTTTGTGCTTGTAATCAATTACCTGTTGTAGATGCCCCATTGAGCAATGTCAGTTAAGAGAAATCGAGTGAAACGAGGCAGAAAAGCTAACAGCTATGGGTTTGTGTCTTTAAAAAAATCCCACTATTTTAGAATTTGGCACTGTTGGTTTCACAATACAAGATATAAATATGAGATTCTGACAGAAACATTCACCGCTCTCCTAACTTCTGAGATGGTTTGGACACGTCCGGAGAGACAATGATTACAGAAAGATGCTGAGTTTGGAGCAACTAGTGGGCCATTCCCATCTGTACCGGGTCGGCCCGGGACGGGTAGCGTAGGTTGTTTACATATCTGGGTGGCCTGGTATTTTTCCGGGCCAACCAAGGCTCCTTCTCAGCCCTCTTCTCGAGGGGGTCTGCTTCAGGCCGACCAGGGCCAACACACCCACTGCTGACAGCAAATTCACACCTTCCATTAGAGCAAGCCTCTGATTGGTGGATAGAATCAGCCCACATGGGCTTAAGACAAGGATGTGTGGAATCTTCGAGGCCGAGAGGAAGACAAAGGAAGACATTTGTGGATGAGGTGAAGGAGGACATGAAGTAGTTGTGAGGGTGGAGGATGCAGAAAGTTTGCCTGTATTTGAAATAGCACTTTCTAGAGTCCTGGAACCCCCCAAGGTTCTTAACAATACAATCAGTCATTCACCCATTCACACACACATTCATACACTGGTGTGGATGTTTATGTTTATTTATTTGGCAGACGCTTTTATCCAAAGCGACTTACAATTTATAACCTATAGGGCATGTTGTGATCTGTGGGGGAAACCGGAGTACCGGAGGAAACCCACGCATGCATGGGGAGAACACGCAACTCCACGCAGAAAGGCCGCAGCCGAGTTTTGAACCTGCAACCTTCGTGCTGCGTGGCAACAGTGCTAACAACTGCGCCACCATGCAGCCCTGATAACACCTCATTTGGATGAGCTACGATGTAGCCACAGCTGCCCTGGGACACACTGACAAAGGCAAGGCTGCCGAGCACTGGTGCCACCGATCCCTCTGACCATCACCAGCAGGCAAGGGGGTTAAGTGTCTTGCCCAAGGACACAATGACAGTGACAGACTGAGCGGGGCTCGAACCTGTAACCTTCTGATTGTGCCAAAACCACCCCAAATAGGGGAGGACGATTGGCTGTGGGAAGAAAGGCCCTCAGAGAAACCAAAAGAAGGTTACTTTGTGAATCTCTGTTTCTTTAAACTGAGGTTGATCGTATGCATTATTTGTTCATATTTTTACAAAGATAATGGCAATATCTACACCATCCCTTCAAACATTTATTTAAATATTTGTGTTTTAGGAATAATTGACCGTGTCATGCGATCATTTAGACTCTGTCAAAAGATAATTCTGCTTCCAGCTCATTACTGAGTCTTCATCTTGAACTCACGAGGGTCGTTTGGAGATTATTTCATTGTTGCAGAAACATTTAAGAATGACAGATGACAGTATACGGCAATAATGTAAATGCCATTTGGAAACATGCTGAATGCCAAGCATGAAGTTTCTGTCAAAAGATGAAAGCGAGATTAAGAGAAACAATTTGAGAGGCTGTCTGCAGCTACAAAACCAGAGTGTCTGTCTTGGTCTCAAAATGTTGAAGCTTTGGATCGTCTTAGGAGGCATTTAGACGATGATGCCAGTTTGTAGAAAAGGAAGATTTTCCATAATATTTAAATGAAAGCATGAGGATTGGTAGATTTGGTGTGTGTGAATATATCACAATATCAGTGCCTAAAGTTGCATAGTGACAACAGTACTTGGCTGCTGACTGTAGTTTGCTGCAAAAACATTATAATATAATATAATATAATATAATATAATATAATATAATATGATATAATACATACTTAAAATAATATATCATATCTTATAATTAATGCAGTTTTCAAATGTAGCTAAATGTCTTTATTGCAGGTCTAAGGCTGAGGGGCTCAGTTGTTTCATAAATAATACAGTTAAGTGTTTGCTTGATTGTTTCATTGAAATATTAATTTCTCACAATTTTTAAAAAATATCCTTCTCAAGTAGAAGCAGCAAAAAAGTTTTATTCCAATGACTGATATGCTATTTACCTTCAGATAGAGTCAGTATGTTCAGTTCAGGTTCCACCGTGTGTCAGACTGAAACAAATCTAAACAAATCTCCTCTTTTTAAGATGAAAGTAAAAAAAAAGTTCTATCATCATATGAAGTTTGAATAACTGGAGTATTTCTTATTTAAACATGTCTAAATGCTGTTGGATGAGATGTGTGATCCTCAGGCGAAACTGATTCCAAACGCTCTTTTCAAAGTGAATGCTTACCCTCATTCATTAACTCACAAACAACTAATTCATTCTGGATAAGCAGAGTTCAGCTAAATGAAATGTCCCAAAATGAAACGATGCCTGGCTGCACAATTAACAATAACTCTAATAAGTCAGCGATCGTTTCTGTTTAATCATGCTATTAAGCAGAACGGGATTTTAGAATCCTGATGGAAAAACTGGGACATTCCCCCGGACCGGGATGGACAGTGGCGCTCACACACGTTTATTCTCCTACGTGCATTCTGTCATTTTGATTTCCATTCCATCCACATTATTCTGTGCGTGTGTTCAGTGTTTCCTCTTTCCTTGTGCAACTGTTTTTCCCCTTGGTAGTCCACAGGGGAAAACATGGAATTAGTTTGTAAAGCGTGATAATAATGCATGGCCATAATAACTTGACTCGAGAGGATTAGTAAATGCGCATTGTCTGAAGCAGCAGTCTCTCTTGGGTGATCAGTTGGTTGACTCCCTAAACAGTGGCTGCCTCTCCCAATTAAAAATTCAGTCTAGTCTGCCTCTTCAAATGATTAATGCCCACACTGTCGATGGCCTGCCAATTATTGTCGCCCAACTGTTATTAATAGGTAGAGGATTTCCTGATGTTGAATTTATCACCACTATGGAAACTTCTCCCTGTGGCTCTAATTAGCCAATGCTATGGCGCGTTCAGGAAACACTTTTAGACTTTTATGCACATGCAAATATGCAGAACTGAGGCTGTTTTTTGTCGACTTTGTGCACAACTTCTTTGTTTCTTTCTGTTTTGCATCTGATTTGTTCATTTTTCCAAATTACCATTCGCTGATGAAAAAAAGTGCATGCATTTATGGAAAACTAATGTCTCTGGGCAAATCACACCCAGCGAGTTCCCCCGGTGCAGTTAAGTAACATGCAATCAAATGAGAGAGAAAGAGCATTTATGATTCATCGGAGCAGACAGACGGACACACAACCCCTGTGCTGTTGCAATCTGCTGGCCGAGGCAACCCTGATATCAATATTAAGCTTGTGTCGGCTATCATTCTGGTAATGCATTTATAAACGGAGATATTGCTGTAGACCACAGCCAGGCAGAAGCACATTAAATCACAGAATAATCTGATAAAATATTTATTCAAGTTTTTATTTTTTTCCCTCTCTCTAAGCCAGTCTGATGGATAGGGTTCATCTGACTTGTCCTCCCAGTAAATCTGAGCCAATGGAAGAAAATCAGTATAATACATCTGATGTGTACAAAAAAATTATAATGTGGTATTTTGAGACTGCAGGTTTCACAAATGGGGTTGTAGTGTAGAGGTTGTGGCATTATTTAAATGAAGCTCTGGGATTTAGAAAGCATCTTTTACCCTTCTTTAATTACTAGTGTGAGTCCATCTACGCGTCCCCATAATGTGTGAGCCTTATGCCGGGTGTCAAAGATCATGGCTCTGCTGTAGGACAGCATCCCCTCTGAGGAAACAGATGGAATAAACTCACAGATCATAGACAAAGCTGTAGATGAGGCATGGCTAGTACGCACAACACCCTTTTGTTAGTACAGATTTAATTATGGAATATTATCCTTGGTATTGTCATGGGACTGTGTTTCATATGGGAGGTGGGGCGGGCTTATGGTGACAAAAGAT